ATAATGGATAAGATTCAGAGATTAGGAAAGCATACTTACATAAATGAGCTAGCATCTCCATCAGTCAAGCAAGAGAGTGAGTATATATATTTTAGATTATCTTAGTAGGGTTCTTTTTATTCATTTTATATTTTTTATGTATAAGAACTAGTAATACTTTAAGAATATTGTAATTATAGAATTATGTGGAATGTGATTATCTATTTGAGCAGTTTGAATGTGATTGACCAAAGTGTATTTCTTATGTTTATTCTAGCATTGTTTGTTGAAATATTAGCTCAATTAACTACTGTTTTAACCTGCTCAGATTATTATTGTTTAAAAGCTCCATAACTAATTGTATGAGCTATTTTTATTTATGTATGCTACATGTTTTAGGCAAATTTGAAGTGAGATTTTCTCCACAAACACCAAAATAACAAATGAGTTTTGGTGATGAAAAAATTCATCACAAATTACAATGGATTTGTTGTGGCATATCTGCCACAATTTATGAGAGCATTTTTGCCAAAGTTTATGGTGGTTGTTCTGTCCCAAATTAGCAATTAAAAAAATTGTAATTTTTGGTGTTATGAAAAAATGAAGCCGTCATTTTTTTCAATATAATTTCATTCTAAATCTACCATAAATACTTCAAATATACATTTGTGAAATGAATTTTACCATTGGAATTGCATCCACTGCACATCCACTGCAAACCTTAATTTGTGATGGATTTGGCTTATTTTTCTGTTGATACTTTTCCTGCAAAAAACCTAATTTTTCTGTAGTGAGTACACAACATGCAAAATTTTCCTAATTAAACTATTACAAAATAAAAACTAATTTTTTCATTTAAAAATTTTTTAATTCTCTATAAATAAATTCCAAATACTCACTTAAGCACTTGATTACATTTGAAGAAATAATAACTTTTAGGATTATTGCAAATTAAATCATTAGATTAATCCTAGATCAATAAAAGGAAATTAATTAGAAAATTATGAAGCTTTAACAAAATTTAGATTAATATATTATGTGGAGGAAAGAGATAAGTATTCAACACTAAAAAAGGTATTTTAGAAAATAAAAGATTGTAAAAAAGAAAATTAGTGAAAAAGGGTAAATTATTGAAAAAAAATAAAATTGGTGACCGCAATGTCTTGCCATGCTTAAAAATAGTATGTGGATGTAATCGATAGCCATTCAAACTTATTATTAGGTACTTAGCCACATGAATAAATTAAAAGAAGACAAATTAAAATTGCTAAATACCTAAATATCAACATTTGATACCTGCAATGTCTAGCACTACCTCAGTACTTCTAGAAGGAATCATTTTAATTCTAACACTAAAAAAAGAATAATATGATAATTTGATGATTATGTAAATGAATAATTTCATTTATTTCTAAAAGTTCAATAAACGAAAGTATACTAGTCAAAATTATTCACCCATCAGAAATTATTCACCCATCAGAGTTTATCTTTGAAATAATTTTAATTTAAAATGAGGGATGAAGATGTTATAAATTATTTTATTAAGCAATCTTGTTACTTATATATTGTATAAATACTTAGATTATAAATTTTAAATTTTTTTCCAAGACATAGAGTGAGTACAAAAGTTAAATTGTTATGTCAGTATAATTTAAATTACTTAAAGATAAGTATAATCTTTAAATTTGGCGAATATGATAAGGTAAAATTTATTCTTATCAAATTATCTTTATTATGTTATTGTTGACCTCATTTTTGTATGAGGTCACTAAGACCAATCCATATCCCATATCTATTTAGACCCAGACCTTGGTTAAGCCTATTTGACCAGGTCAACCCCATTGACCAAAATACCCCTTAAGGGTCTAATGGGTCATTTTGACCAAATCGAAATCCAAACCCTCAAATCCTCAAACTTATTCCAAAGAATAATCTAAGCATATTCAATCCCACTTTGAGTCAAATCACAAAGGTTTGACTTGGTTAAACTTTATTGATTTGGTCAAAACATTTAATCCAACGCATTCATCCATTCAAATTCAAACCCTATTATTTTGGAGATCTTTAAGTTCATTCCATTTAATACTTTGAGTATTTTTAAACATGCCATAAGTAACTTCATGGTCATTTTGACCAAGTCTAGACTTTAAAAATTTTGGGCAAACTTGCATGGTTATGGCTTGGTCACTTAAACCTCTAATGGATTGCCTTAAGCCCATTCCTACCAGCTCCCTAGCCTGCACATCATCAGCCATGTAGGCTGGTTGACTAGTCAACCCAGTTTTTTTTTTTTTTAAAAGGAATGCAACAAAATTGCATTAAAAGCGAAATCAAAAGTAAGTACAAGTAATGAGTGGATCACATTCCTCCTTGATTAACTTTGCCAACAAGGAAGGAATGCAATCAAAGGAAAACTATCAAAAAAGAAACTCTTCTCTAATGCCATAGTAGCACAACAATTAGCTACTTTATTACACCTTCTATTAGCATGGAGGAAAACAACTTTATTAAAATCACTAAGAAAGCACAAATCTTTATTCGGCCATCTATCAACATACCATTTGTTCTTCTTTAAGGAGTCTTGAATGAACTTGATAACATTGACATTATCACTCTCAATGATCAATCCTTTGCACTCCAGCATCCATCTTTTAAGAAAATCCTTCACCAAAAAAAACAGCTTCATGCTCCAATTGAGAAATATACCAATGAGTTTTCTTCTTTCCAAATGCACTTATAAACCTGCCTTTGTGGTCTCTTAAAACACCACCAACTCCAGCCACATTGGAACTAAGCAAAGAAGCATCAACATTGATCTTGATCCAATCTTTCGGTGGAGGGCACCAAGTACTTTGAGACTCCCTTAGGAGATTTGCACCCCAGCAAGAAAGATAAGGACCAGAGTTTGATAAGGCTAAAAATATAGCATTCGAAGCAACCATAGAACTTGGCAATGCACCCTTATCATGCTTGACAGCATTCCTATTCTTCCACGAATGGTATACTATATTACAGTAAATCTGTACAATCCCAGAATTTTTCTGTGCAATGTGTTTTAAACCACGTAAACAGCTATCATGGGAGCTAAAAACGGGAATAGAAATACCACATTCACCCATCTTAACAATAACAACAGTCATATATTTGCAATGTACCATTATATGCTCATAAGTTTCACTAACTTTACATCCTCTAGGACACCAATCATCAGTTGTAATCTTACGGCTCTTCAAGAACTGATTTGTTGGAATTGCTGCCTTCCCCAACCTCCATCAAAAGACCTCTACTTTTTTCTTAAGTTTCAATTTCTGTAGCCAGGAGAAGTATTCAACATCCTCCATATTATATTTGTTAGCTAGCATTTGCTCATATACCAAAGCTAAAACAGTCTTCCCCGAACATTTCTTCATCAATTCCAACTGATCCTCCCCTTCAAAATCAATTTGAATATGGCTGATCAAGGTCACAAGATCTGGGTGAAAAAACTTCTGTAAATTGATGTAATCTCACTTTCCATTGCTCAGTATAAATTGCTGGACGTAAACCCCATCCACTGACTTACAATTAATAAAGGTTGGCCACCTGTTGATACATCTATCTAGCAACCATGTATCATTTAGAACATTAATCTTATCACCCTTTCCTACTCTCCACCGAACAGCCAATTTCAAACATTTACCACCTTCAGCCAGAATTTGCCAAGCCGTTGAAGTAATCTTCCTTTGAGCACCATTCATCACATCATTCTCATATCTGGCTGTTATTACACGGTGGAACAAAGATTGCAGTTTCTGAATAAAATTCCATGTCAACTTGGACTTAAGAGAACCAATTCTATCAAGTGGGGAGTGCACCCCAAGTCCTCCAAAGCATCTTGGTTTACAAATATCTCCCCAATCCACATAATGCATACCTTTAGTCCCCTCATTTTTATGCCAAAGAAAACTTCTACAAAGTTTCTCTAACTCATACAAAACCCTCTTGGGTACCATAGAATGAGTTATTAAAAAGGTAGGCATAGATAGCAAAGAACTATTTATAAGAATCAGCTTACCTCCTAAAGAGAGGGACTTCTTACTCCAAGCATTTAGTTTGTCCATTGCATTACTCAGAACATCTTGAAAGTCAGCCATTTTACTTCTATTCAGAGACATCTTCACACCCAAATACTTCTTTTCTTTGACAACTTTAAAACCAATAGCTTTAGCAATATTTTTCTTCATAGAATACCTAACAACCTTGCCAAACATCAATTGAGATTTGCTTACATTCAATATTTGACCAGTCCACCTACAAAATTCTTCCACAATAGTCTTCAAAATCTTTGCTAAGTCCACGGATGCATAAGAAAAAATCAGTAAATCATCTGTGTAAAGGAGATGAGTAACTAGAGGACCTCTAGGAGAAATTTGTATACCAAGCTTCTGTCCCCTTTGCACAATAGAGTTGGACAAGAGTTGAGAACATAGAATGAAAAGGTATGGTGACAATGGGCATCCTTGACGGAACCCACTTTGAGCATAAATCCAACTAGAATTCCTCCCATTGATAATTATAGAGAACCTCACATCAACAACACACTCCATTAGAAGGTTAGAAAAATCAATAAGAAAACCATACCAATCAAGAATGTGCCCAAGAGATGTCAATCCCATACTATCATATGCTTGCTCCATGTCAAGTTTGATAGCCATCAACCCCTTCTTATTCTTAGAAATTCTGAATTTGTGAAATACCTCTTGAGCCAAAAGACAATGATCCGCAATAGAACTTCCATGAATGAATGCCACTTGTTCTTCTGAAATCATCTTTGATAAAACCTTCTTCAATCTATTAACTAGCATTGTAGCCACAATCTTATAATTAGTTTGTCAAAGGCTAATAGGCCTAAAGTTAGAAGGGGTCATAGGATTTTTAATCTTCGATATCAAAATGATCAAAGTATTCTTCCATTCCTTATGCATATGACATGTTTTAAAAAAACAGTTTACAGCCTTCCAAAGAGTCTCCCACACAATACTTCAATAGCTCTTGTAGAAGGAATAAGTGACTCCATCTAACCCAGTAGACTTGTTGTTGCCCTGCTGAAAAACTAAATTTTGCAATTCAACAACAGAGAATTCTGCATTAAGCACTTCCAAATCAGTAACTGAAATTTTTTGGTTTTCAAAAGCTGCAGGCCATCCCGAAACTTTACACTCCCTGTATTTTCACTTTAAAAAAAAAAAAAAACTGATGAAAACCTTTTCAATTTGCTCATCTTCATCAAAGACATTACTTAGCTCATCTTTGATTTGAGTTATCTTGTTCCCTTTCCTTCTAGCTGTGGCGTAGCTATGGAATAAATTGGAATTTGTATCACCTTCCTCGTGCCACCTAGCCTTTGCCCTTTGATTCCACCAAGTAGAAAGCCTCTTCAAGGTGACATTAAGTTCATGTACTTTATTTCTTAGAACCAACAAATCATCCACCAACCAGTTGATACCCAATGCTTCCTTGTTTTGAAGTTCAAGGATTTCTTCTTTCAACTTATCCTTTACCACATTTAAATTTTTACATTTGTTCCTATTCCAGAAAAATAAAGCTTTTAGAGTGCGATTAAGCTTCCTTTGTAGGGTCACAAACTCATCACCCAAATCCTTCTTACTCCAAGAATGAAAAACAATATTCTTGGCTGCAGGATAAGACCTCCATGTATCCTCAATTCTAATAATCTTAGACTTGAGCTGCACCTTCTCATTCATCTTAATGACTATTAGACAATGATCAGAAGCCAATCTCGCAAGATGTCTAGTAACCATTAAAGGAAATTTCTGAATAGCAATAGAATTAGCCATACACCTGTCCAACCTTTCCCATATTCGAGAAGCACCCTCCTTGTTGTTACACCAAGTAAACCTTGGCCCCACATAGCCAACATCATGAAAATCAGCATTCATCATAAAGCTTTTCATCTCCCGAGGTCCCTTAGAGAACAAGAACCTGTTTCCTCCTCTCTTCTCCTCTTTATTGGTAATACAATTGAAGTCTCCTCCTATAATAGAAGGAATATCATTCACCAAACTCTTTTCTAACTGCTTCCAAAGATCACTCCTCTCCTTGCAACACCTACTACCATAAACAGTAGCGATTCTCCAAGTTCATAAGGTGGGAACTAAGAGATTGCCAAAGACCACTTGTGTCTATAACATAAAACATCACCATCTTGCTATTCCAAAGCACCAAAATACCACCAGAAGTGCCAACAACAGGGTAGTGAAAAAACTCTCATTGACTCCCTATAAGATAATCAACCTCCTTTCTATCAATGCTAGATAACTTTGTCTCAATAAGCCCAACAAAAAAAATAACATGATCCTTAACAATTTCTTTCAAATACAAGGAAGCCTCCTTCTTTCTTGCTCCCCTGCAATTCCAAAATAGAATAGAAGACATTAAATAGGTAATGAAGATCTCTCCCTACTGTTGGAGTTTAATCTTCCAACCTTTTTCTTCTTCTTTTGATCTGGCTCAACCGGTCCCAAGGATCTCAATTCTTTAGCTAGCTTTACTTTGGCCATACTACTTTGAGAACCCAAGTCAGTGTGATTACCATCAAGTTCAGATATAACCTCACTTCTATTCAAGGCTTTATCACTTCCATCATGAAGCTCTTTCTCATCTTCAACATCTTTATCAACCAGTGCAGCAAACCGGTTATTTGAAAGAGTTTCACACTTCTCAGCATCAGATTCCACCATATTACCATAACTTTTTACTGGAACCACCTCTGCTTCAGTAACTGTTTTAGTAGTCTCAGTTATTTCCTTAACTGGCTCCATCTGACGACTAATGATGTCTCTGTTTTCAGCAACGCTTCCTTTATCCTTCCCACCTCTTACAGCCACTAAATTCCTTCTGAATCTTCTTGTTTTGAACTGGACATGCATCCACGGCCTATACTCAGCATTAATTATTGAAGGATTACTCTCAACTGCAGACTTCAACCCTTCCCCTATTACTGTGCCCGTCTTCTTTCTTGTTTGATCCTGAATACCAATAGTTACATTATCAGGACAGATTTTAGAATCATGACCCACTTTACCACATTGATAGCAAAGAAGATCAACTTTCTCGTATTCCACCCTTTGAAAAAACCTCCTAGCTAATCCTTCAACCCAAACTCCATTCGGTAGCTTCTTTTCCAAGTCAATTCTGACACAAACATGGGCGAATTCACGTTTGCTTCAACGAAACGTATTGCCATCTAGGTACATTGGTGAACCAAGACATGAGGCTATTCTTGCTATACTATCTTCATCCCAGCAATACAAAGGTAGACATGGTAGTCTAATCCAAATGGGAGCAGAAATTCCCTTAAAAGAATTTGGATCAAACATAGGCATCCACTTGTCCATTCCCACAATGAACCCATTCACATACCATGGGCCTCCATTCAGTATTTCATCTAACACCTCACTCATCTTGAATGAACACAAAATTCAGTTCATCCAGATCGACGTCAAATGAAATCCTCCGTATTTGCTCCACTGTCTTCTCAATTCTAAACTGCAAACTGAGAATGGTACGTATTCCCCAAGACTTTAATCACAATGGAGTTTTTCAGAATTCTAGAGTTCTCTGTCTCCTTCTCCGCATTCAACTTGACTGCAACCCCATCTTCAGAGAATTCAACCTGTTCTTTGTTGATCAAAATTTTGATGGGCTTCATTTTCAGCCAAGTATCTGCAACTTCCCCAACGCCATTCTACTCAGAGTAAACATTTTCCTTATTCATCATGTTAACATTTTTCACTCGATTCAATGAATGATCCGCCACATCACAATTCTTCTGAGTTCCCACCGAATTTAACTCAGTGTCAAACATCCCCCGAACGTATCAAAAACACCTGAAAAACTTTTCACCCTCAAGCTAATATTTTCCGAAGCCAAATAATCAAGATTACCCATACCTGGATTACGCTGAATATCACCAATCTTCTGAATCATACTATCATCACCTATAACCTTCTTCCCCTTGCCTTCAACATGTTCTTGATGAATAACCAATTTAATTCCTTCTCTAATCACAACACCATTCGATCCCCTACCATTAACCCGTAGAGGGCCAGATGGTCGTGGAGCAGTCATGACCACCGCCGGCCATCATCCGCCGCAAAACCTTCAGACGCTGAGAACCCGCGAAAAAGAAAATTCAAACCACCGAAGAAATTTCTCTCTCTAGAATTCACTTGAATAGTCAAATTATCCATTCAAAGCTAATCTATTCAATATCAAATCATTGCAACAGTTCAAGACAACTCAAATTCACCAAAATCTAGCTGATCAATCCTTGCCGATGATCAGATTCTAGCGAGCTCAAGCCTAAATCCATTCAAGGTGATTTTCTATCGATCCAGACATTCTCTGGCTGAGCTACTTCAAGAAAAATAAGCGTGGACAGATAATAGTTTCAGAGAATCCAAAATCTTTCCAAATGAATGATTAGATTCTTCTAAAACTCAAACCCTAGTTTGCACACTTAGAGTTAATTAGCTTTTTAGAAGTTCATTTCAAGCATTAAAACAAACTCCCCATTAATTCTCTTCATAAACTCTGTCTGTGTTTAAAATTTCATGAACTTTTTTTTAGTATATCGAGCGAATGACCCAAAAATGCATTCCAGGGCATTTTCATAGCATAGTTCATATGCATGTTTTCTGGATCTTTAATTGATCAATCAATAGTCCAGAACAAGCCTTTTCACAATCTGATTAGACAATGTATTCGTTCCTGCACTCGATTTCACTGTCTAACTATAAAAGGGTCATTTATTTCGAATGGTAGGGCATCCAACGGCCCATAATGCGGGCTGACGTGTTTAAGTGAACTGCTTTCGCAGTTCAATAATTACTCCAATCATTGCTGGTGGCGTAATGATTACACTTCCAGCAATGATTGCCTCCGCATTTTGGTCCCATCAACAAAGAAGCGCCACGTAGCTCCCATCGCCACAGGCACCGCCATCCCCTTTTCTGTATATATATATCTTATAATTTTAAGTAACTTAATAAGATGATTATAATTATAAATATTTAATTAGATAATTAAAATTTTAATCATATAATTATAATTATAATTATAATTTGATGTAATTTTTATCAAATAATTTAGATCTTATAATTTTTAAATTTTAAGTAATTTAATTAGAGAATTATAATTTTTAATCAAAAATTATCTTGAATAATCAATAATTATAAATTAAATATTAATTTTAAAATAAATGTAATTTAAGATATATCTTACAATTTTAAAAATTTAAGTAATTAAATAATTATACATTTGATTAAAATTTAATTAAACTTAAATTTAAATGATCTTAAAATTTTAATAATTTTTAAAATTTTTAAAAAATCATGTAAGGAATAATTTAATTTAATTTAAAAAAAATTTTTAAATGTGAATTAATTTTAAAATTATTTTAAAAAAACTTTAATTTTTTTAAACTTTGAAAATTCATAAAATAATTAAATTAAATAAAAAATATGAATTATATCTTAAAATTTTCATAAAATGTAGTTTTTAATTTAAGACTAATTTAAACAATTATTAACTTAATTTATTTTATATAATAATAATAATTTAATTACTTTAATATTTTAATTAAATTTAATTAAATATTATATTATATATTTAAAAATTTTAAAATTTATTTTCAAATTATTAAAAAAATTAGAGGATTTATTTAAAATTTTTAAATTATTTTGATGATATTTTAAATTATTTAATTTTAAAACTTATATTATATGTATGATAATTTCATTGCATGATGTTTGATGATATTGATGTGTCTGTTTAGTTACTTTTATATACTCTATGATGTGATTGGACTGTGCATTAGATCTACCCATAGGTTAGGGACGATTTATACTAATTCGATCTTATTTAGGTGGCCATGCTCATATAGGAAATAAAAATTAAAGGGGGAAAATAATAAAGCTTTAATTAATAATATTTTATACAAACGCTCTAGAATGCTAACTCCCTTTAAATTAAAAAAGCATGGCTAAGCGTGGATGTGATTTGAGCAATTTAAATTTTATATTTATTAACTGATTGGGATTATATATAACTATTGACTATTAGAATAACCCTATAGGATCGAGTCTAAAATTTTATTTTTTAAATATAATTTGATATAATATGAGTTATAATAATTTAAGTGTTTTGAGATTGGGATGTTAAAAATCTAATTTAGAATGCAAAGAGGAAGGGAAATCCCTTAGGAGAGAGTACCTCTCCATTTGGAGATCCAAATTTAGATGACTTCAAATATCTATAAAAAAAAAAAAAAAGAAAACACCCTTTTTAGATGAGGGGAGTTTCTTTTCATTTGGATATCCGAAACCAATAAATCAAGAGGTTCGTGAGAAGGCGAAGAAGTGAATATTGAAAAGAATCCTAAATATAAAAAAAACATAATATCAAAGCAACATTAGAAAGAGTCGGTTTCTAGAGTGAGAAAGCGATTTTCAAATTTCTATTTGGCGGTTCGTGAGCTTTTCAGCTGGTGGTCGCCGGCGGACGGCCGGTGCTCCGGCGGCTTGGAAGGTCGGTAATGAAGCAACGACGTATTCTCAAGAAGGATGCGTGGGCGAATTACAGGAAGTGATTATCGGTGCCAGTTCTTGATTCTTCCGAAGTCTTCAATGGGGGTGCAAAGATTCTGGATGATTTTAACCAGAGTTTCAAAAGTATAAAGGAGAAGCCATTGGTGATCAAGGAGGGAGGTTTGTTAGAAAGAAAGGTTGTATCTGTTCCGGTAATTGGAAAGGGTAAAGACGTTGTCAAGGAGAATATCCAGAGTTTTTCAAGCATTTCGCCAGTTCAGAGTGGTGGTTTTAAAAACCCGGTGGCTAGGAATTATGAAGCTTCTTCTTCGGGAGGTTTAAAGATTTCTTCGAATTTTGATTAT